AAAGCAACAAGGATAAAGGATAGGCCCCACACTGGCATATACTGGTAACGTGAGCGACAGGGACAGCCGACAGGAAGAAGAGAGATAGCAAATGAATCAGGCCACGTTAGGCAACGAAATGGTTTTCTCCTTTGTTCGTTTAGCAATTTTATTTCCGCCTTTGTCGCGATTCATTCGATTGCCTGCCAACCTGATACCGAGCCTGGTATGGGGATTCCGAGGCATGGCTCGGAATTGGACGGCAAGGCATGGCATGGAATGTCGCAATGACAGCAGAGAAAACGTAGCGACATATTTTCCATCTTAATGTGTTAACCCAATTTTCGTTTTGAGTGCACGGCAGGGTGTGGGTATTGGGGAGCGAAGAACCTACACCTATACATGTATATCTGCATAGATTCAAGTCTGGAGAAAAAAAAATCTAAATGTGTTGGAACATTTTCCGCTGAGTTACGAGCCACCGATTAGCACCGCTTTCCGCTTTTCAGGCTTTCGCGGTGGAGAGGCGACAGGTATTCATTCCGGTTTAGACAACAATTCCCAGACAATTTGCATAAGTGACGGAGGATATACAAGACCTAATGGTAGGTGGAGTAACAGTAAAGTTTTCCTTTAAAAGTTAGAAATAAAAATCTTGATTTGAAAATATCTTTAATGAATTTATAATATGATTTTTAATTTAACATTCCATTAAACCACATTCATATATATTATAATAGACTTTCCATCTTCCCTTGATCCCTTGAAAATGGGGTTTTCCCCTATATGGGGAAAACTCCATAGTGACGACCCAATTCGTCGGCCCCAATTCTCATCCGATTCTCAAGCGGAGTACCTTAAACGATTTCTATTTCGATTTCGCACCATTCTACATCAAAATCCTGAGACGAAATATTTTTTAGATTTTTTGTCCATTTTTCGTGATGTGATCCTTTGAAAATGGGGTTTTCCCGTTTATGGCCCACAATGAAGACCATATCTTCCTCAATTCTCATCCGATTCTCAAGCGGAGTACCTTAAACGATTTCTATATCGATTTCGCACCATTCTACATCAAAATCCTGAGACAAAATATTTTTTAGATTTTTTGTCCATTTTTCGTGATGTGATCCCTCAAAAGTGGGGTTTTCCCGTATATGGCCCACAATGACGACCATATCTTCCTCAATTCTCATCCGATTCTCAAGCGGAGTACCTTAAACGATTTCTATATCGATTTCGCACCATTCTACATCAAAATCCTGAGACAAAATATTTTTTAGATTTTTTGTCCATTTTTCGTGATGTGATCCCTCAAAAGTGGGGTTTTCCCGTATATGGCCCACAATGACGACCATATCTTCCTCAATTCTCATCCGATTCTCAAGCGGAGTACCTTAAACGATTTCTATATCGATTTCGCACCATTCTACATCAAAATCCTGAGACAAAATATTTTTTAGATTTTTTGTCCATTTTTCGTGATGTGATCCCTCAAAAGTGGGGTTTTCCCGTATATGGCCCACAATGACGACCATATCTTCTCCAATTCTCATCCGATTCTCAAGCGGAGTACCTTAAACGATTTCTATATCGATTTCGCACCATGTTATATCAAAATCCTGAGGCAAAATATTTTTTAGAATTTTTGTCCATTTTGTGCCATTTATACCCTATAGAGGGTTTTCCTCTGGCTATATCTTCCCCAATTATCATCCGATTCTGTACCTTAAACAATTTCTGGATGGATTACACACCATTCTGCATCAAAATCCGGATACAAAATATTTCTTGGCTTTTTTGTTCTTTTTATACCCTTGCAGAGGGTATTATAATTTTGTCCAAAAGTGTGCAACGCAGTGAAGGAGACATCTCCGACCCTATAAAGTATATATATTCTTGATCAGGATCACCTCCTGAGTTGATATGAGCATGTCCGTCTGTCCGTCTGTCCGTCTGTCTGTCTGTCCGTCTGTCTGTTTCTACGCAAACTAGTCTCTCAGTTTTAAAGCTATCGTCTTGAAACTTTGCACACACCCTTCTTTCCTTTGCACGCAGTATATAAGTCGGAACGGCCCGGATCGGCCGACTATATCCTATAGCTGCCATATAACTGATTGATCGGAAATGGTATAACTTTGGTGTTTTTAGAGTTAGAGAGTTCAAATTTGACATGAGAGCTATTTTTGGCAAAATAATACGACATGCCAAATTTCATAAGGATCGGCCGACTATATCCTATAGCTGCCATATAACTCAACGATCGGAAATGACCCAACTTTCGTGTTTTTGAAGATAGAAAGCTGGAATTTAGTACAGACTCTATTTTTGGTTAGTTGATCCAACCTACCAAATTTCATTAGGATCGGCCGACTATATCCTATAGCTGCCATATAACTGAACGATCGGAAATGACCCAACTGGAAAGCTGGAACTTGGTACAGATTATATTTTGATCCATCCTACCAAATTTCATAAGGATCGGCCAACTATATCCGATGTTTGCGATATATATCCGGTTTTAGCTGCAAGGGTATATAAACTTCGGCTCCGCCCGAAGTTAGCTTTCCTTTCTTGTTTAGTTATGGGTTCACTTGATAATGTGGTTTTCGCCTATATGGCATATAGGCATATGTGATGCCTATATCTTTCCCAATTCTTGTATATTTCGGCTTATACAGTACATTTAGTACAAAAAAATTTAAAATTATTTGATCAAAAATAACTTGAGGGATTTCTTTACTAATTATATTGTCCGAGTTCTTCGCAAATAAGGAGGGGGGCTTCTACGAGGGAGGTATTATGAAGTTGCCGTCTAGATGGAAACGGATTATCGAACAAAACGGCGCATATTTCAACTAAATCGGATCACTGTAACACTTTTTATAAAGCATTGAATAAAGAGCAAAAAAGCGGAAGGGAGATATTTGACAACCTTATATATTAGACATTGAGTTAGAATCAGAGGGTTGATTCATTAATAATTCAGCTTTTCTCAGCCCATTTCTGGAGCTATTTTCCGACACTAGATGGAAATTTTTCTTGACATGGCCTACAGCAGTTGCAGGACACTTAACACGGTACCTGCTATGCCACAGGAAATGTAACGGTACAGCAATTCCCCGGGGAGGTGGGGGAGGGAATCAAGAGACGGTACAGGAGCTCTGAGGTAAAATTCTGTTGTACACACAACTTTCCATTTTTTTAACATTGTTCATGACGTTTCACATGCAAAACGCGTGTCACATTCGCATTTCCGCCTGTCATCCTAGTTTAGTTGCCTTTCCTTCCCCAACCTATTTTACCTAGGCTCACGCACACACACATACCAAGGCACCGAGCCGCACACTTTTTGGCTTTCAGCAGCAGTCGTCCTTTGGTTACTTTGACTCTTTTCGGGTCCTGATAAGTGGATGTGTGCGTGTGTGAATTCGCTTTCGGTAATGTGTGCGTGTGTGGCTGTGTGTGAGTGTGAGTGTGCAACTTGTTAAAAATCCATTAATCACGTAAGTGGCAACTCTGGCAACGACGTTGCCGGCATACAAATTCCCTCATGCGTGCAAAAAGAAAAAAAATATATAAAACTGAGAAAACTGCCACCCACACTATTGCTGTTTCTCAGTTTTTGGAAGTGTGTGTGTGGGTGTTGGCTTAATATTCCTGCTTTGGTTATGCTTTTGCATTTTAGTGCCTCATTATCTTCACATTGTAAATTGTTCTACATGGCAATTGCTTTTAAAATTCACGCACAACTTAATTTGTTTAGATTTATGTTGGTTTCTGGGAGATAATGTGTCATGCGAACTCTAAAAACATTTGGCGGAACTTTTACTTTAAATTTCCATGGGAATTCTTCAAATGTAGTTATCCTCTTTCATCTTTTTTTTGTTATCGATACTGGGCCATCCCTAACTGATATTTGAGCATCAATTTAAATTTTAAAAACAAAGTTTTTAATCCAATTCTCACTAGCTACATATTATAATGAATTTCTTTAGTACTAGTAGTACTATTTATTAGGTATTTAAAAACTCCCCTCAATGGCCATAATTCTGGGCTTTTCATTTTCAAATTAATTATTCAAGTATGCTCCACTTTAGACATTTTCCCAGGGTTGCCAGCTTTGTGTGCGGTGGCTGATTTTACTTGTTAATGTCCTATCTTACAAGCTGCACGCATTCCTCGACCACACAAATTTCCAGGATACCCCACACAAAGGGCCCGGCGAGTTTATTACATCTGGCTGGGCACAAAAACACACACACACACACACACACAGGCGAGTATTATGCAACATTTTAATATGGCTGCCCCAGCGTAAATGTCCTTGGGTTTCGTTCGTGTTTGTACAAGTGCATATACGAATATATATTTCAGTGGCAGTGCCGGCATTGTCTATGCGGCATATAATAAACCCAACATTTGCAGCACACATCTTTTGCGGTCTCAGCCAGGGACAAAATTTACAATACCACCCGCTCCAGAGCCCCCACTCTCCATTTTGAATACCTCGCTGACTGGAGGTCCCCAAGGTGAGGCGACTCGGCAACCCTTTAAGTCTTGTGTGGATCTTCCCGGAGTAGGTAGCACTAGAAACTTTAGTTCCTCATATCTTTGGGGCACCTGCTGCAAAAGTTTCGGCTTCCTTTCGTCCTGGTTTCTGTTTCTCTTGCCAGCGTTGCAAAATCAAAGTTGCCGGGAACTAGCTAAGGGCACGACCCTCCACCCACTGCCCATATTTGGTCCTGCGAAAGTTTCTCATGTTTATATGTATATGGGGAAGTGAACATGCTCGTATCGTCTACTTAAATTAAATACAATGTGTGCGAAAAGTAAATTGAAGTTTGCTTTATGTGAATTTTTCAGTTGCCCCTATCCCGAAATACAGTCGCCTCTTCCAAGAAGTTTCCTCTTAACATGCTACCATGTTGGACAAGTTTTTGGGATCTAAGGCTTTATGGGTTCTAAGGCTAGCATCAATTATAACAAAAAATATATGCAATAATGTTATCGACACTTACCTTCCACCGATGAGCAGGCTGTTGCCGTCCCTGGTGACGAGCTTAAAGTGATCCACTACGCTCTCGTTGCCCAGAAACTTTAGTATATCTTCGGGACCTGCAAATAGGGAAAGAATGGGGATTATAAACAAATAGCAGGCGGTAGTAGCTAGGTCCTGGCAGAGAAGGGTTGGGACTGGGGTTGGCATGCAAATGCCTAATTAGGCAATTAGCCGACGTTAATGGCGACAAAAAGCAGCCGAGGAGAATGAAGAACTGGGAACGGAGAACGGAGAATGGAAAAGGCAAGCGGATAAACAGGGTGAAGAGTGAAAAGCAGTCGGAAAATGCTGCAAAATGGCGGCCGGTAGGGAAACAATGCAGCTGCCTTGGAAAATGGAAATGGTAATAAGGGCTGGCTGGCTGGGATGTGGAGGTGGAGGTGGGCCGTAGAGTGATAGTGAGTGAGCTGATGCCAAGTCCTCGCTAGTTGATATGCAAAGAAGGGCCAGCTGCAAAAGTGGCCCGTTTAGCAACAGCAACATAATCAGCAGCGGCTAATCCAAAGGCAAGAACCATTTTTGTTTCAAGCTTTTTTCCACTTATTTGCATTTATTTTTTTTCCTTTAAAATCCTTTCGAGTGGCCAGTTGCCACAAGAACGATATCTGTTTGATAGAACTTTAGAGACAACGGCGCGTATACTTAATATTTTCTTTATTTTTATGAAAAAACAAATCAAGGACTTCTATTGCACACATTATATTGCTGCCACCATTTGATCCTTGATGTTGCAACAGCAGCTGGTAGTAGCAGCAGAAAATAATTTTCCCCATTTTTCCTCAACTTTTTTGCCTTTTCAGCGAGCTTTTAACTTTTAACTGCAAATGTTCGGTCAACCACAAAAGAGCGAAAAAGTTCTCCTCGTTTTTTCCACTCAATGTTCTTTTTAGCGAAAAGGGCTGGGAGCTGGAGCACGGCTACCAAAAGGGGGAAATGGCACCTGGTTATTGAAAGCACATTTGGACGCTTTTCAGGTTCGTCCACTTTTCATTTCAACGGGCCAACACGGCCACAAAAAAAATTGCGAAAAAACGAATGCTAAAATTAATTGGTAGAATGAATGCTTTTATATGCGAGACAGAAGAAGCCCTTTTGTTTGCTTGACATTTAACGTGACACGCGGGACATGTGAACAACTTTGTGGGCGTCTCTGCGGGAGGAGTGGCACTTTGGGGCAGGCGGTGGCAGGTTGAGGGGGAGTGGAAGTGTGCCAACTACAGCGAAAGTTGAAACCTGGACCATCACGAGAGCCGTACAAATGAAGCGACATTTTTTTAATTTGGCTCTGTAATTAAAAGTAACAAAAGCAAAAAAAAACAAAACCCTCTCCAATCCAAAGGGAAAGGAATGTAAATGAAAACAAAAGAAAGTCAGACCAAGGAATACAAATAACGAATGAAAAATAATTATTTGAAAGAAAAAAAAACAGAAAATGCCCTGGGGAAAGGAAAAGACAAATAAATACTAAAAGATGGCAGTCTCGAGAAATGAGAAAAAAATGTATAAGAAGGTTTAAAAATAAACAGAATGTACAAAAATAGGAAAAGTAAGTTTTTCAGGTAACCTAACTAAACTAACGAAAATATAAAATTTGATAAACATTTTTAAAAGCCATCATCATTCAGTCAGACCACTCTCATTTGTATGATAATGATTCCCATTTCGAGTCCCCCACCCGCCAAAGGACTCTCCCCAAAAGTCCATCTCATTACTCACAGCGGCCCTTTGTCACTCCGGTTCCTCAGTCCTGGCTCTCTGGCGCTGGGGGTGCAACTTTTGTTTAATGCCACCGCGGGCCTTTTGTCGACCTGGCCAGAAACTTTGTAAGCCCAAAATTGTAAGCTAATATTTGCTTTACCTACATCTGCACACACAGTTCTCTCCCCACAAACACATCTGCATAGACGCCAAAGTGGAACCGGAAGGGCAGGCGAAAAATTCCGCAACCAAAAATGTAATATTTACCTTGACTTTGCGAAAAGCAAACTGCAAACTCAAAAAACTCCAAGCTCTTCCCAGACCCAGTCGCTGTCCCAGTCTCAGTCCATTTCCTGTTTCCCCATGAGCACACACCCACAAATATACATACATACAAAGAGTTACATGCATAGCCGGTCGGTATGTAGGGATGTTTGAACAAAGGACCTGCCAGACGGGACGAACAAAAATAAAAGATGGAACAAGTGTCAGAGTCTATCACTTTAATCAACTGGACCGGACTCTGTCTGAAATTATGCAAATTCAACAGAAAATAAAATAAAATTTCAGACGCACGGAATCTACAAAGTGGCACTCCATGGAGTCCTGCGAGTCCTGTGAGTCCTGCGAGTCCTCCATGTTTGACACTGACTTGCGAACGTGACCGTGCAAACACCGAGCAACTTAATGGTCAACTTCCTGATCCTGCGGCCTTGCCTCGGCCACGGCCACCTCTTACACAAATCACACAAAGCCAGCTTGGTGCGGCGAGCAAATAAGCTGATTATTAAATATTTTCTTAATGAATTTTTCACTCCGAAGCTGGCGCCACTGTAGCAGGTTGTCAGGCTTTCGTACAACGGTAAATATTTTCCCAAGATGGCGTCGCAACAAAATGGCGGCCATTTGCAGGTGTGATGTCCATTCCGCGGGCTTTATCCTCTCCATATATTTTTGTATATATAAGTACACACGAATGTACCATAGATGTGTGTGCAATCATTGGAGGCAACGAATGGCTGGTAACAATGCGGCATTAAAAATGCAAAAATCTTTTCACAAATGCAAGCCCAACGCTGCTGCCTTCGGTGGTGCCAACAAGCAGCTCAGAAAGGACGATGAAAGCGGAAGAAAGGAGAAGGATGCTCGAGTCTTTCAATAATAAAAGCTTCCGGAACAACCAAGTCTTGCCTTCTTCATTCTTTCTTTTTTTTTTAAGAACTTGAAAACTTGCAAATTGTGGGATATTCATGTAAGACTTGAATTTTGTTCATAATTTAGTTCATTTTTTTCAGTTCGGTTTTTTGTTAAACCGATTTAGTGCAATCACAGTAAATTTACTTTCTTCATAAACTTACAATGAGAAACTAACGCATTTTATTTTTATGCAAGGCTGGCTGGCTGGCTGGCAAAGATTATGCGGAAAAGGCAAGGACCTTCGCCGAAATGCCGAATTTTGGGAAGGGAGGCGAAAAGCCGGAAAACAAAATGCAGCGACGCGTGAAAAACATTCCCCGACTTTGGCGGTAGATCCCCACAAACACACACACACTCATAGTCCTCCTCCGGCTACGACTCCGGCAAAAAAAAGGAACAATAACATGGCCAGAAAAAATCCCTCGTTGAGATTTGCATTTAATTGAAATGAACGCCGCCAACGGTCGACGAAGGACACATCAAATGGCCAGAACCAGGACATGGAACAGGCCCAAGACCCAGTACCAGCACCAGCAACCTGACCAAACCAGACAGAATCCGAATCCGAATCTGTATCTGTATCTGAATCTGAATCCGAGTCGGAATCCGAAACCGAGTCGCACTCGCACAAAGGGCGGGGCGGAAAAAGAGCGAGGAGCAAAGGACAAAAGGCAGGAACTCATTGGGCCCAGGAGCTTTTTTTCACTCCACGTCCTCCTGGTGAGGTCCTCGAAATGAAATCTGAAATGAAAGCCGCCGGCTGACCCTGACAGAGAACATTTCGGCTATCTCCTTCGAAGAGCCCAAGCCCAGGACCGACTCCATTCCATTTTATCTTCTCCCGGCCCGTCGGCTAAATGGCAGCACTGTTTGATTTCCTTTGTTTTGTTTTACTTTTTTTCTGCCATTACCAAGTTGTCAATTTCGATTTGGCTGACGTTTGCATCTTGACGAAATTTCGGATTTCCAAGAAGTTGCTCCAGTAATAACGAAGGATTTTCAGGTGAAAATCAAAAGCTATTCCTTAGACATAATAGGGGATTTCTACGAATGTTTCCAATTTAGGCCATATTCTAGATAATATTTAAGCCATGGTTTTTCTACTTTTTTAGTAGCCCTCTGGGGTTCGTAAACACCATTTTTTAAAGTTCTCCCCTTCTGAATTCCAATCACAAATCACTGAAATTATCCTATTAAATATTCTGTATACTCCCGGTATTATGGACAAAAAAATCATTAAAATAACCCCCAATCAGTGGCAAATATTTTTTCCGCTTCAATCGCTTTTTTATACCGCGCTTCATGCAAACATTTTTCACAAAATCGAATTTGTTTGCGGCGCGTGATGCCTTCGTCAGGTTTTTTATAGAAATTATGGGGGGATTTTTGTATAGCATGAGACTGAAAATAAAAACCGCAAATAAATAGCTCTGGGAATAGAGGATAAACATTTTTCCGCCGCATTAAAAGCGTCATTAATATTTCAAATCGTTTGTCAATTCAAATTCATCAACAGTTTACACAAAAAAGGTTTTTCGTTGAAATCCAATCAAAATCAAAGCAAAATAAAGTCAAAGGAAATTAGGTAAACTATTAAATGCATATTTATAAAAGCAGTAATGGTAATTGCATAAATTTAATAAAAAGCAAGTTAATATGCAGTAAAATAAGTAGATTTAATATGCAGAGGCGCTCATGCAGACAGTCGTGCTTCCAGCAAAATGAAATTAATCGAAGAACGTTAAAGAAACGGCCGTAAAAGCCTTTAAATTCATTTAGGCCGAAAGTGCAGGGTTGCGGGCGTTGAGCTGCTGTGCTCCGCGTGTCCTGCGGTTGCCACGAAATGTGACAGGATATGAACTCACGCCATTTATGCAGCAATTAACGCCAGGAACAGGCAGTGCGGACCATCGCCCATGGCCCAGGACCTTCAGCACGGCCAGCACTTCTCCTTCACTGTCGCATTTAATACTGTTTTAATAATTATTGTATTATTTTTCATTTGTTTACGTTCGTCGGCCCCGATATCCTTTGTGCAGTCGCCCGCAAAGGATGCGTTTCCTCGACATCCCGGCCACGAACTCCAGACATCTGCCAGCTGTGGCTTGTTGGAGCATCAGTTGGGCCACAGCCCGCTTCCTTAATGACAACAAATTGTCGT